AAATTTTCTCCTCGGCTATGTTCAATCCTTGCTCTTCTGAGGGGTTAATGACATTGATCGTCCCCGTACGAACCAGGTTCATGCGTACGATCAGTTCACAAAAATTGTCCCCTAAGAGTGTGTGTTATGAATTTTTTCACTTAATTACAATCACTTTCTTCATTTAAAACAGATTTACAAATGAATAGTTTTGAAGTCTTCATCGCTTGAGTTTAAATTCCTGAAATGTTAAGTACACACTAGAGCAAAAATAAAACTTCCAAAAAGTGTTAGGAGATATATAAAAAATAATAAATATTTGAAATCAATCAAAATTAATACAAGTTGCAAGAATGTAAAAACATGCAAATAGCAACTCTCTCTAACACGACTTTCCAATGAAAGTTGCCGGGTAGTGTCTTACAACAAAGCTCTTATAAACAAGACTGGCCAAAAAATTAAATTTATTGTTTTGGAAGATTTGTTCTGACTTTATTAGAGTTTGGTTGAGTTTTGTAATTTGATATTTTCGGGATTTTTGACACTTTGTTAGTGTTATTGGTTGTCTCTATGCTTGTTAGGGCATTTTTTGCCTACTAACAATAGTCCAGTACTCATCCTGCTTTTAGCACTTTGCTTTACTAGATTTTCGTTACTTGGCTATTCTTGCTTTCCAGTATTTTATTCTAAATACCGTAGCTATTATATTCTCAGCATTTATTTAATTATTTATGCGGTACTGACTCTTCATTTGTTTTCATAAGAATTCGTAGTCAGTAGTTGTAGCAATCGAGGCTTGCAGTATGCAGAAGATAGAGCCTAATGGATTGTTGCAATATCTCGTACAAGAGGGACCATTGGAGAACATCAAAAGGAGCTAAGTTTTGAAGATTTCTGGAGTGTTTGGAGAGTTTACAATTGTTTGAGAGTTATATTTGGAAAGAATTTTGAAAAATTTGAGAGCTTGTATATATTTGATTTAGGAAAACATGTATTTCTCTTCCTGCATTTTGCATTTCTTTTAGACAAATGAAATTTTAATTAATCAACTAACCAAAAAGTTCAAAAATTTTCTAGTTTAATGTATTAATTTCGATCTTTAAAAATTCTCCTACTTTACAACTCTCAGAATTTAAATTCCGCATGTATATATATAAAAAGAATTCATTTAAAATATTTTTTTGAATTTTGAAACTTTTGAATTCAAAGGCTCTTAAAAAAATATTTAAATTAGAGGGAACAGGAAGGGAAAGGCGGCTTGTAGGTTCTCCACACCTATTGCATTTGACCAATATAGAAGACTTAAAGCTCTCAATTAACCTTTTTTTAATTAGTTTAATCAAATTAATTATTTAAGTCTAATTAACTAAATTAGTTAAAATAATATTTAAAATTAATTTTGATATTTTAGTTAATTCAATATTCAAATTAAATTGCTTTGGATTTTTGAGGAAATCGGCAGCTACCCAGCGTCTCTTTTCCCACCGAGGGAGAAATCGGGCGCACTGCCGTAATTTCTTCCTACCCAGACCTAAGGTCGACGGTCGTAGGCCGTCTTCGATTTCAAACATTCACCAGATCTAGATTGACTGCTGAGGTCTCGAATTATTAAAACCATCCACCCATAATCTAAGATCGAGACGCGGGTCTTCAAATTTAAAACCATCTGCTCGGATAAAAATCAACGGTGCGGGTCTTTCAATTCAAAACCATCCAGGTCAAGATTCTAAGGTACGACAGCCGGGGTCTTCGACATCTGTTTAAAATTTTTATTCCTTTTCATTTTTTGATTTTTTTCATTTTTTTTTTAATATAATTATTATAACAAAATATAGTATCAATAAATCATAATTATATATTATATTATATATAGTATATATATTATCCAGAGAGGGAGGAGGCAGGATCAGGAAGGAAGAGCCCGATCGGACGGCTTCGGTAAGGATCGGCAGGCACGGCACTGGTATGAGATGGAAGCAGCGTTGTGTCGGCTTGGCATGGAGTTTTCCGACCGACGAGGTCGATCGGAGGAGCAAAGTTGGACTGCAATGAAGGAGCCGAAGTTCGCTCTCTGGGAAAGAGCTGCAGAAGCTATGTGTGCAATCCTCCTGCGAACTGAAGGAGTCGAGGCCCAACAAAGGAGCGGAAGTAGCGACCGTGCAATCCATACACCTCTTGCGGAGTGACGGGATCGGGCGGCGACAAGGAGTCGAACGCGAGTCGGGCGTGGGAGGCGGAGACAAGCGGAGGTTGGAGAAGCGAAGTCAGATGATAATGAGTGAACCGAATGAGCGATCCGTTCCATTTCTCCCTCTCGAGCAAAGAAATGAAGTCGAACATAAACGGAGGAACTGAATGAGCGAGAGTAAAAATACCCATCTTCAGTTCTCCCTTTCTTTTTATCATGAAGCAATGGTTATAACTCGAAGGGATGTGTCGTTTTGGCGAGATGGGGCCGGCGTGGAGGTATGTTGGTTGCTCTAAAATTTTTTTTTGTTATTTATTTTATACAGTCAACAAATTGCCTCCCAACGAATTTGTTGTGTGACTTTCACACAATGAATTCGTTGTAATCTTTGATCATGTGATTTTGACCCTTTAGATATGTTGATGAAAAATAACTCGACCTTTTAGGTTTATGAGCATTAAAATTTCTAAAGTTTGGCCCTTAGGTTTATTGAACTTTAGGGATTTAGCTCGACCCTTAGGTTTATGAGCTTAGAAATTTCAAAGGTTCGACCCTTAAGCTTATTGAACCAATGGGTTTTAGCTCAACCCTTAGGTTTATGAGCAAATAAGATTTTAAAGTTTGGCCCTAAGGCTTGTTGAACTTTGGGGATTTAGCTCGACCCTTAGGTTTATGAGCATAGGAGATTTTAAAGTTTGGCCCTTAGTCTTGTTGAACTTTGGAGATTTAGCTCAACTCTTAGGTTTACGAGCGTAAAAGATTTCAAAGGTTCAGCCCTTAGGCTTATTGAACCTCATTGGTTTAGCTCGACCCTTAGGTTTATGAGCATAGGAGATTTTAAAGTTCGGCCCTTAGGCTTATTGAACTTTATGGATTTTAGAGTTTATGAGCATATGAGATTATGAAGGTTCGGCCCTTAGGCTTATTAAACCAATGGAATTTAGCTCGACCTTTTAGGTTTGTGAGCGTAAAAGTTTTCATAATTCCCTTATTTTTATTTGGTAGAGGGGATAAAATTATCTCCCGACTTTTCAGGAGGGGATTGAACTTGCCTCCTACGTTATAGGAAAATATAAAAATTGCCTCATGTCTTTTAGAAGGGGGTTGAATTTATCTCCTACATTTGTAGGAGAATATAAAAAATTGCCTCCTGTCTTTCAGGAGGGGATTGAATTTATCTCCTGCATTATAGAAGAATATAAAACTTGCCTCTTGTCTTTTGGGAGCATATTTCATTTTTCTTTTTATAGGGGAAATATAAAAATTACCTCTTGTCTTTTAGGAGGGAATTTAGAAGACTTTTGCCTCGTAAGCAGATTTTCATACATAACAGTTTTTTATGTATGATATTTCTTTAGATATTGACCATTAATTCGTGGCATAGTTCTTTGACCATTTAGGTCTATGAGTTGATAGGCACCTCCTTCATGCACTATTTCAATGATGAAGGGTCCTTCCTAGATTAGATCAAATTTATCGCCAAAGCGACGGGGAGGGATTATAGGTCTTCGACAAACCAAAACAAGTTCACCTTCTTTGAAGCTTCTAGGTCGAACCATTCTATCATGGGGCCCTAGTCATTCTTTCTTTGTATGAATCTAGGCTTTGTTGAGCTTGAAGTCTAACTTCATCAAGAGCTTCAAGTTCTTCAAGTCGTAGAAGTTCATTTTCTTCTTTCGTTAATTCGTATTGAACAGCAATACGAAGAGATGGAAACTCGACCTCGAGAGGTAATATTGCCTCAGTTCCAAAAACTAACGAATATGGGGTGGCCTGCATTGCAGTTTTATAAGTGGTACGATATGCCCAAAGAGCTTCTGTCAATTTATCGTGCCACTCTCTCTTAATTTTAGAGAGAATTTTTTTGAGCAATTTAACCAAAGTCTTGTTAAGTGCTTCAGCCAAACCATTGGCTCTTGGGTTATATATCGATGAATAATGATAGTCTATCTTATGACGTTCTATAAATCGATAAATTTTAATACTTTTAAAGGCAGTACCATTGTCTAATATAATTCGATGAGGCATGCCAAAATGATAGACAATGTTATCTCGGAAGAATTTCATCACATTGTCCGCTTTAACTTCTCTTAGGGGAATTGCTTCAGCCCATTTTGAGAAATAGTCAGTGTCAACTAGGATGAATCGATGTCCTAAAGAAGATGGTGGTTCTATAGGACCTATTATATCGGTACCCCAACTTTCAAATGGCCATGACGCTATTGTAGGGTGTAGCGGATTAGGAGGTCGATGCATGATATCTCCATGTACTTGACATTGATGGCACTTTTTAGCATGGTTGATGCAGTCTGGAATCATACTTGGCTAGTAGTATCCTATAAGTTTAATTTTAATTTTCATTTTTGGTCCAGATTGGTGTGCACCACACAATCCTTCATGTATTTCACTTATAACCTTTTTGGATTCATCGGGCCCAAACATCATTGCCACATTTGGTCAAATGATCTATGATATAATGTATCATTCACAAAAGCATATCTTAGTGCTCTTCGTGCTATTTGAGAAGCTATGGATTTATTTTCGGGTAATCTCCCTTCTTTAAAATATTTGATGAATGGATCTCTCCAATCATTTTCATCAGATATAGCCAAGCTCTCTCGTATTTCTTCCCCTTTATCATCTTGTATGATTGCTGGAGTTAATGCATGCCTGTTTTGA